TATATATATATATATATATATATATATGTATGTATATATATATATATATACTATATACTATATAATGGCTATAGTAAAATCATTATTTATATATAATGACTTTCGGCACTTCAATTATTTATAATTAATGTTTTGCTAGTTGTTGTTATTCATAAATAATGAAAATCGCTCCATCAAGTTAAGAGACCAAACTAATTATATGTATGTAATGAAGAAATGTTGAATCATATGTTAGATAATGAATATGTATATAATTATTTTTGTTAAATAATGAAAGTACATTTGGCTCCTCAAAAATAACAGTATTGATAAACGTCACCATCAAATACTCGTATATTTAAACGTCTGCAACGCTTGTTATGATAGGTTTTTAGGTCAATGTTTAAGGGTGGTGCCAGCGTAGGGGAGGTGTCACCCCTACCCCCACCCCTCCTTGCCAGGTAGAAAAACCACAGTTCGCCGAGAGAAACCTTTTTATATATATATATATATCTCACTTTATACCATCTAGCTTTTTCTACCCTCACTCACTCGACACTGAGGAAGGACTAGTGTTGTCCGAAAGCTCTGGTTCTATTTCTGGCTGTTTACTTACGTCTACTTTTTAGCTGTTGCTTATCATTTTTGTATCTCAACTGAGATCCAGCCATTGTTTCCCACAGCATTGTTGTTTTTCAGTATTTTGCCTTTTAATATGTATATAATTATATATATATAATTATATATATATATATATATATATATATATACTCATTAGTAGACACTATAATCCATTAAATAAGCCTTTAAAACCCCTAAATTGTCTTTTTTTTCGTGGCCTATTCTCCTCACCAGAATCTTTTTCAAGCATTTTTGAGCGACACCTGACTACGCCAACTTTGCTCTCGTCGGGGACATCGCGCCCCCCCCCCTCTTTTGGGGACCTTGGAACCCCCATCGGGCAATCCTGGAGCCATCTCTAGTTAGGTGTGCTTGTTCCCAGAGTAGCGTCCACTCAATGACTGGTTATTGTTCATTATAAATGTATTTAAATATTTGTTGTACTGTACATGGAAGAGGCCAACGTAGATAGTTATTTGTATTGTATTTAAAGATTTATATCGTTACCATAGTATTATTTTTAGCTTTAAATAATGGTGTACTTTATAAAACTTACTATAAATCATCTATAATTTTGAAGGTTAATAATAATAATAATAATAATAATAATAATAATAATAATAATAATAATAAAAGCAACAATGAAAACAACGATAACAATAACGATAATGATAATGATAGTAATAGTAATTGAGTTGTAGCTCATTTCCCGCCATCTAGGAATCAAATTTTTCCCGGGGAGGACACCCAATCCTATATAGACCTATATGACATGATATGCCTATCTGTAATAAGAATGAAAACATTTATCTGAACGTTTTCAAGTTTCAAGAGGGCATAAAAATCTTGAATTTTGAAGAACTTAAGTCATTAAAAGACACTTCAGAAGTCTGGAAAGCTCATTTCCCGCCATCTATGAATAAACAATTTCCCGGGGGAGGACACACCCCCTTTCTTTTTTGAAGTTTTTTTTAGAAACTTTCTTCCCCCTCCCCCTCCCCCTTCCCCTGTAAGTTTCAACCCAGATCCGCCCCTGATCTTATTATAGGCCTATATAAAGTGAACAGCCAGAAGGAAGGCCTTACCTTGGTTTAAGCCCTTCGTCAGAGCCAAATATTAAAAAAAATATAGCCATATAAAATACCTTATTATATGATAAAATGGTGGTGATTTAGTGTTTATGGGGTTCACATTGACAGCAGGAGAGGTCACAGGTTACCCCGTCTGAGGTAATTTATCTTATAATTTATTTATATATAGAACAATATTCATTGAGGAATATACAGTGAGATGGCAAACAACAAACAGGCATCAAAACGGAAGACGAAAAGCAATACTGCTGATAATAATTTAAAGACGTAATAGTTTAAAGCTAGCATTAGCAACCTCCAATATGTTCCACTTTGATATAAGATTTTATACTATATTCTACTTTAGCTGGCGATAGTAGTTACAAAGCTGTGGGGCAATTTTCGTTACATCAGCTGTTGAGCGTTCCATATTAGCTGTGAGGCAATTTTGGTTACTACATTAGCTGTTGAGCGTTCTACATTAGCTGGGGTTGATTTTCTTTTTACTAGGCTACATAAGCTGTTGGGGTTTCTACATTAGCGGGGAGTTTTACTACATTAGCTGTGGAGTGTGCTACATTATAATAGTATTAATAGTAATAGTGATAGCAATACTATTAATAGTAATAGTAATAATAGTGATAGTAATAGAAATATAATTAACGTGATGGCGTTATTTACCCAAGATTTGTTGTTCTCTGACACTGTCGGATACAACCATACAAGCAACTTAGTATTATCGTGCCAATGACCGAGGCAATTATCGCTGTCGTCTTAACAGAGACCGTCGTCTTGTTTTGCTGATCCTTTGTCTCATTTTGTGGATCCTTTGGCTCGTATTTCGTCGATGGTATTTTTGGCTTGGGACATATTTTTGCAATATTCACATCTTTAAAAAGAAAAAAAAAAAAACAAATGTCATTCTTAATTGAACATTTTTGTAACTTAAAATTAGGTCGTTAACAATAAGCATACAATTACAAAAGTGTGTAAAATCTCGGAGATAAAACCTTCAGTGTGGTAAACCGTACTTTATATAATTGAATCCCATTGATGGGATCCATCTTGACGACTTAATAACATCTGTTGACGTCAGCATGAATAGTGGTTGAACTCTTGCGCGGTAAATTTCATAAAATTTACCCAGTATTACAAAGTTTAATTACAGTATTAGAATGCAGTAAAATGTCATTAATTGTTCTCGTTTGGCTTTTTCGTCGGTTGTAGGCCTATTCTTGGCTTGGGACATATTTTTGCAATAATATCTTTTAGAAAAAGAAGTAAATAATGTCATTTTTAATTGGATATTTTTGTAACTTAAAATTAGATCGTTAACAATAAACATAAAATTACATAAGTGTGTAAAACCTAAAGTATGGTAAAGTATACAAAAATCATGCCACGTAGTTGAATCCCATTGACGGGAACCATCTTGAAGTCTTAACAACATCTGTTGACGTCAACATGAATAGTGGTTGAAATGTTAAATCTTAAATTTCATAAACTTTACTCAGTATTACAAAGTTTAATTACAGCATTAGAATGTAATAAAATGTCATTAATTGTTCTGAAGGAAAATAAGAAGTTTATTTTGCGATTATTTTTGTTATCCTATATGTGATTTGAAGTTAACCCACTAGTTTGATGCGAGCAACCCACCCAAAATGAGTACGAGTTAAATACGAGCGCACCGAGTTGGTTACGATGACCAGGAACATTTGATCGGAACGCTCGTACCTAACTCGTACCGGTATTTAATTCGGTACAAACTCGTTACGCTGGCAATATAGCTCGTTGTAAACTAGGTGCTTGTCGTAACCAACTCCGTAAGGTCGCACCTCACTCGTAGCTAAGCCGTAGATAGCATGTATAGAGGTCCTTTACCAAGCGAATTATATGACGAGTTTTTAACTCTTAGAACTCATGCGACTCTTGGATGAAACTAAACTAGGTGGAAGAGTATTAAGTACGAGTTAGGTGGAGTACCCCGAGTAAGATGTGTATAAGAGACAGTGTGTGCTGGGCTTAAAAGTAGCAAACATTATGGTAAGCAATAGTTGTAGAACTTTATAGCCTGCATTAAAGCAGTGGAAGTTTACTGAAATAAAGGAACAACAGAAGCAAACAAATTGAACACTAATGACTACAGTATACAATTACATGACGAGAATTAAAAAAGTAGTCTATACTAAATCACTGTAACTTTTGCCAGGTAGCATCCAGTATAGTATTAACAATTTAATTGTCTTGATTTATAGCTGTGTTGGCTACACGTTATACCGTATTGTGTTACTTCAACAAATATATCGAGACAGTAACAACCACACCCATGATAATGGTTATAAAATATAGGTAGCAGCTAATTCTGCTCTCAATTAAAAAGAAAAGGAAAAAAAATCCTGTGCTATTGAGTAGGCCTAATAGTCTTTATTAGGATTTCTCTGATCCACTTGTGACCAAAACCTACCCGACGACTCGCAAATAATAGCGTCTACCTGAGAAGTTCCAAAGCAATCGGTGTTCTGCCCAGACACTTGAAATTTGTTAATCAGATTCTTGATTGTAAATGTTGTACACCCTTTATACAGGCCTATTTCTATGATAGCTGCTTGGTTAAAAACCTTGAATTTTATATCAAATTCCGCTGTGTCTAACATAATAGAGTGCACGACCACTGTCAACGCTTTGTATTCATCAAAACTGTTTATTACTGTGATGTTTCCGCCTAATTTTTCGCATTCACGCTGAGTATCAATACATGACTGCTTTGCTCCGTTCATTGGTATATATTTGAAGCAGTTTGGAGATGGATATACCACACGTGCATCGTCTATAAACAATAAGATGAAATTAAAAATCATTATTATATATTTCCTTGAGCTTTCGTTTTCGTTCCATAATTTACATTGAAAATAAAATAGAGGTAAATGAAAATTGTATTATTCACAATATTGAGATAATCTGTAATTCTTACCAAAGACCGAAATGTCTCCGTTTGGATGTTGATATTCCAAACCATTACTTCCGGGGTAAATAAGGTAACATGACGTCATACCCGAACAATTAAATCCGCTGTAATAGGAAATAATATGAAACTACTGTATATAAAGAAATATAAGCATCATAACAAAGGCTCAGGGCCGGATGCTGGAGGTAGTGTGCAGACGGTGTGATCGCTACCTCATAAAATGTATTAATAAAAATAATTTTATTGTCATTGTTTATGACTTACCGGTAAGATTTTTAAGGTGTGAGAGTGCAATTTCCAGACACCTATAGGCACATTCTCAAAACGTTTTTTTCACACACCACATGCGCGGATCCATACCTTGGCACCGTTCGCCGTAGCGAGGGTCAAGGTGAGAGATAAAATATTCTTTAAAATACGGTGATTGCAGCGTCTATTGATCTGACGAATAGTATAGGCCTGACTCTTTCAGAAATGCCACTTGCCTCAACCAAAGACAAAATATAGATAAAATATATGCAATTGTTTTCTTGCATTGTCTAAGACCCTTGAAGGTTTTTGGCAATTTCAATTCTATTCTATTATTTTACATACGAGGACCCATCTGGAATGGAATCTTCACAGACGCCTATGTGTCTACAAAACGAAAACCAAAAACCCAAAAAGCGAAGACCCATATTTTGTTTTCTCCCAATCGTGATGAAATAATGCTACTAGTGCTACTGCTGCTACTACTACTACTATAACTACCACTACCCCACTACCACCACTACCGCTACTACCACTACCACTACTACTACTACTACTACTACTACTACTACCACTAATACTACTACTACTACTACCACTACCACTACTACTACTACTACTACCACTACCACTACCACTACCAATACACCACTACCCTACTACTGCTACTGCCACTGCTAATGCTGCTTCTACTACTACACTACTGAACTACTAAACTACAAATTGCAAAACTATTATTTTATTTTATTTATTTATTTCCAAACCAACAGCGAAAAATCACCACTTACAGGATGGATATAAAAAATATAGTATAAACTCTAAAAATACGGAAAAACAAGCAGGACAATCAGAAGCAGGACAATCAAAAGCACATTCTAAACTAACAACAACCCCACCAAGAAACAAAGAATCAAGAAACAAAACACAGTTACAAGGCCAGCTTAAAACTAGACACTTTTTAACACGAGAGGTCAGAATAGTTTAAAAATGTTAAAAAAGATATCAGAATTACTATTTTCAAAAACAATACGATTGTAAGAAGGTAATATAGAAATAAAACTCGGTTTAAAAACACAAATATGACTGAAAGGAACATCAAAAACATGCAAAGACCGTAACACTCGACAATTAATATGAAGACCGAACAGACGAATAAAATTAGAACTATAGTGTGAATTAACACATTAAATTAAACAAAAATAACATATCAAACAGAAAATATCTAACAGTAGGCGGCAAGAGACAACAGGACTACCCAAAATAGTTAAAAAAAGAAGCTTAAAATAAATTTTGTTAATACGATTTAATTGAGAATTGAATGCCGAACTAAAAATAACGCAACACTACTCAAAATGTGAGGAAACTAAGGTACGATACAGTGATATGAAAGCTTTAGGACAAACATGTATAAGTGTAGTTTTGCCCTACCTGACGTGGAAATGTATTGAATACTCAGTACGTTTGAAAACAATTGCGAAAAAAATCGCAAGTTGTCCTCGGGTGGGACTTGAACCCACCTCGATCTGTCTTTCTGCTATGGTTCATTAAGTTTATCTATATAGACCTTCCTGGTCTCGGACACCAGTCTTTAATCCAACTTACTTAGCCGTGGACTCAGTTAATTCTGTAAGTTTTCGAATCTTAAAGTATTTGATTGTGTTTTGACTTAATAAAAAAAAAATACAATGTTCAATTATTTTATCATGAAATTCAAGTGATAGATCCATCTATGGTTCAAATAACTCTGTACTATGCAAGATCTATCCACAATCTATGAATGTTGTCAATTGGCCACAAAAAAACAAAATTCAATTATTCTAACAAACTTTAGGGTAAACTTGTCATTGTGACTTTAAAGACCCTGACCAACAAATTTGTTGGCATTCTTCTGGCAAAAGTACTTAACAACCACCTACTTCAGGTCGGATCTATAGATAATTTATTATCACTTTTACTGTAGGCCTAACATTACTTATACCATCATGAACTTGATTACCTTCTTCAACTTCATCACTATCACCAGCATCATCACTGACATCTGCATCATCACAATCATCAACATCATCACTAAATTCAGCTTATCACTGTCTTCAGTTACTATGGCCGTTGCTAAGGTCATTTGCTGCCACCTTGTCCTTTTAATAGGCTCCACTGGACATAAGTATCAATCTGAATCAATGCTATGGAGGAATATGGGCAGTATATTTTAGTAATAGTGAATTAAGTTCTATTAACTGTATTCCTATGACCCAATGTAATTCCGTTACCATGTAATTCCGTTACCAAATGTAATTCCGTTACCAGGTTTTCTACAAAACTAGCGAAGATCAAAGAAAACTGTTTAGTGATAATGGTAAAGGTGTATGACTAGTAAGAGAATATAAAGTAACTTGAGTTTATGGACATTAGTTTGCTCTTAGAAAAACATTAACCATTTTTTTGGTAATGGAATTACGGTGTGATACCCAATATCTGCCAACTTGCTGTGAAAATTGTAAGTGTCCGAGTCTATCTCAACATTTGGATTCTAGGGACCATTAAGTCAAATATTCAGAATAAGTATAGTCAGGAAGGGTTAAGTTAAGCATAATTGGGGATTATTTTTAAAATTAGCCGTCTTTTTGTTTTTAAATTCTGAATAATCATATACTCAGATATACCAGTGGTTTTTGAAGAATATGAATTAATAAGACTAAAATTTAACTTCGAACCAAATTTGACATATGTTTCAGCTCTGAAAATGAAACCAAGTTTAGATACAAGTGGATTAAATTTTTGGTGGTTTTGGCCTGCGGCCTTCCAATGTGGAATTGCCCCTTTTCCCCCCAGTTTTTAAATATTAAAAAATCTGTATCTCATTCACCGTTCCCCAGTTTTTCGTCAAACAGCTTTTTTGTCTAAAGCTTTGTCTACACTATCAAATTTCATGTGACAAAAAAATGTGATGTACCCATATATGGGTACGATGACGTCATATCACATATCAAATTGTATCAAATAAAGTTGAACTGATTTGAAGCTGTAATTCAACCGTTACAGCTTATTGCCCTAGGGAGCATTTAAAATAGCAACACAGAATGTTAACAGTTTAAGAATTGAATGAGAACTCTTCCTCTAGTCATGGTAGAAGCCCATTGTTAAATTTTATGTCAATATATAGCGGCTAATGTTAATAGCATCTGGGTGCTATGGCGTTCTGTGTTTTATCGTCACTAATAACATTGTAAAGGTAGATTTACACCAACTCCGAATTCGGTTCGTAGAACGTTTTCGTTCGTTTTCGTTTTCTTTACCACTGATTCAATATTCTTTTTTCGTTTCGTTAGCCATACGAACCGAATTAGGCTTTGGTGTGAATGTAGCTTAAGCCTACTTATTTTATTTACTTGATAATAAACAGCTATAATAAACAGCTGGTGAACCATTGTGCTTTTGGAAACTGTCCTACGAATAATTCGTCATACGGGATTTTGTTTTGTTCTGATCATTGTGTTTCTTTAATAACTTTTTTGACTAAAACTAAAATGTTGGTGTATCAACAGTGCTCATAAAAATAATCTGGCCCTTCAAACAAATTAATTAAGAACCAGGGACATATAATTTATCCGGCGGCTCGTGTATATAAACATATAGGCTAGACATTGTTTATTGTATTGTATAAATGCAGGCTTATACTTGTACATTTATTTAACGAAACACATCTCATTATTATAAATATTATTTTATTTAATTACAGCCATAATAATCTGTCACACTCACAATAATCGGTTTACATTATTTATCAGTGATTTTCAATATACATTTTTAATACTAACAATTATTATAGCCTTTGATTTGCAAATATAAGTTTATGAAATGATGTAATATCAAAGAGAAGCGGCAACATAACAATTTGCAGTTCAGTTTTCAACGAATTAGTGTTATCCCCGGGAGCTCACTTTTTGTATGCCAAACTTAATGGGCTTGGGGGTGCACTTTTAAGACGAGACACTTGCGCTGCCTATTTTACTGAAATTATTAGGGACTTGAGCTACCATTTATCAAAATCTTTCGGCCATGTAAACTACAAAATTAAACTTATACTTGTTCCTAATCACAAATAAGACTGCGGTTCTGTCCGTTCGCGATCTCTACTGTTCGTTGCTCTGCATCCACGGTAGGCGTAGCACAGATTTTAGCCAAAAATCTTCGCTAAAATCGAGTGAAAAATTATACTACTTTGATACGGGACGGGGCAGGGACTGTAACTACCAATTTTACTATGTATTTCCCACAATATATACTCATACTATACTGTACAGGCTCAAACTCTTCCATAAATGTTCTCACTTGTACTACCAACTTAGTCCTCAAAAATACCCCCGTAAATGCGGCACCTACACGTACAGAAATATTTAAAGGCGAGCATTCCGAGAGTGTGTTTCCTACCATGCCTATAACACACATTGATAAGCATTACTTACGGAGAACATTGTGCATCAATCATCGTTGTTTTCCAAACAAGAAGCAATATACCTTTCGCCCAATGCAGCATATTATGTCACTATTATGGAATTTCCTCCGAGCACCATAGAAATCACAAGTTGTCCGGACTGTTATATGCCGTGTCGCAGTGTAAAACACGATGGTGTCCGGGTAATATTTTAAAAGAATTATGATTCTATTAATAGACATTCATGTAATATCGGAAGTTCAGGTCAGTAATTCGTATTCCTTCTTCCGATATAATTACATCTTCTAGATTCCTGGCTGGAGTTCAAACTGTTTCGCGGCCTAAAAGAGTCGATAAAATATTTTTGCAGGTTACGCAACGTACGCAACGCAATGTAAGCAAATGCTCTTCCAGCAATTTCGTATCCCCCCTCCTGACAGAAAGTTGTATTTGCACATCTTACGTAACAAAATGAATACGGTTCCCACTTGCTGCCGCGTAAACGCAATGATTTTCACGGGAAGCTTTCAAAAGTCGTTATGAAAATATTCATTGTAGGGCTACCAATGTATTGTAGGTTGGGATTGGGTTGTGTTCTGAATATTTGTTATCGCAGGCCTGGCCGGGTTAGGTCTGTGCAGTTAATGTTTAAAGTTAATGAATTTTTGCTTTTTAGCTAAAGACTGTAATAATATGTCTACCCTGAAGAAAAATAATTATTATAAATCAACAATTATAAATTTTTCGCAGATAAAAGCCCCCAGATTAGGCCTGGTCCGTTTAAAAAATATTTTTCATATTAAATTAACTATAGAGTACGTTTTTTGCTTGATGTTTAATTACAAATTGTATGATTTTATTGGAGAAAGCGCACCTGTTTTAGCCTGTTAGCCATAGTAGCCTAGGTCAATACTAACACCGGGTATATAAAATTGATAATGGGATTGAAAAATATTAATCTTATTATTGTAGTAGTGACACTATGTCCACGTTTTAATTATTGCTGGTTATGTCATTCAGCTGGCTGCAGCTTTGTTTTGATTTCTACGATCGAACTACGATCGATAGCGACAAATAAACAGTGCCAAAAATGCTCTCATTTTGTAATAAATTGCACTATTTTGGAAACGGGGGATCGTTTTCTGGCTAAGGGGGTTCGCTGGCAAAAGGGGGGTTCGCGCGAACCCCTAAAAAACCCCCTGGCTACGGGCCTGCACTTTAAGACGAGACACTTGCGCTGCCTATTTTACCGAAATTATTAGGGACTTGAGCTACCATTTATCAAAATCTTTCGGCCATGTAAACTACAAAATTAAACTTATACTTGTTCCTAATCACAAACAAGACTGCGGCTCTGTCCGTTTGCGATCTCTACTGTTCGTTGCTCTGCATCCACGGTAGGCGTAGCACAGATTTTAGCCAAAAATCTTCGCTAAAATCGAGTGAAAAATTATGCTACTTTGATACGGGACGGGGCAGGGACTGTAACTACCAATTTTACTATGTATTTCCCACAATATATACTCATACTATACTGTACAGGCTCAAACTCTTCCATAAATGTTCTCACTTGTGCTACCAACTTAGTCCTCAAAAATACCCCCGTAAACGCGGCACCTACACGTACAGAAATATTTAAAGGCGAGCGCATGCCGAGAGTGTGTTTCCTACCATGCCTATAACACACATTGATAAGCATTACTTACGGAGAACATTATGCATCAATCATCGTTATTTTCCAAACAAGAAGCAATATACCTTTCGCCCAATGCAGCATATTGTGTCACTATTATGGAATTTCCTCGGAGCACCATAGAAATCACAAGTTGTCCAGACTGTTATATGCCGTGTCGCAGTGTAAAACACGATGGTGTCCGGGTAATATTTTAAAAGAATTATGATTCTATTAATAGAAACAAAATGAATACGGTTCCCACTTGCCGCCGCGTAAACGCAATGATTTTCACGGGAAGCTTTCAAAAGTCGTTATGAAAATATTCATTGTAGGGCTACCAATGTATTGTAGGTTGGGATTGGGTTGTGTTCTGAATATTTATTATCGCAGGCCTGGCCGGGTTAGGTCTGTGCAGTTAATGCTTTAAAGTTAATGAATTTTTGCTTTTTAGCTAAAGACTGTAATAATATGTCTACCCTGAAGAAAAATAATTATTATAAATCAACAATTATAAATTTTTCGCAGATAAAAGCCCCCAGATTAGGCCTGGTCCGTTTAAAAAATATTTTTCATATTAAATTAACTACAGAGTACGTTTTTTGCTTGATGTTTAATTACAAATTGTATGATTTTATTGGAGAAAGCGCACCTGTTTTAGCCTGTTAGCCATAGTAGCCTAGGTCAATACTAACACCGGGTATATAAAATTGATAATGGGATTGAAAAAAGGGATGTCTATTGTTTCTTTGAATTTGCACAATACATAGGAGGGCGGAGTTGTTCATTTCAGCTTTTTAAATAAACAAATAGCTTATTTAATCAATGGAAGCTTCTATCCTACCGTGCTACTAGCCGATGCCTAGCCTTAGCCTAGATCCCAGTAGAGCAGTACTTTAGGCTATTACAAAACAGTCCGAGACTCATCAAGAGGGCATGTTTACTGATCAATCAATAATACAACTGAACTGATTGTAAACCTAGTCCTAGCCTAGGCCCTATAGGCTAGGCCTAGCCTATAAAAAGAGACGAATAATGTCAGTTAATTCTGACGAAACGTAAAACATTACCAAGTATTATTTCCTTGCTAGCCTGGGCCCTGGCCTATGCTAGCTCGATTACAAAATAAATAATAAAATCGTTCGCAAATAATATTAATAGGCTACGACCCTACCCTACCTAGCAACGCTAGACCTAGGCCTAGCCCGAAAAAGTACACCGGTCCCGCCGCCAGGCAGTATCATGAGCATGTGGTGAAAACAAGGGTGAATTTTCTTCGTTGCTGGCCTTGAACCAAAAAAATCGGTTATCCTTTCTCAGCGCTTCATCTAGGCTATTTTTGGCGTGTTGCATGTCCTCGATCCCAGAGAAATGAAAAATGTCGAGCGCCCAAACTTTTGTGATGACGTCGTGCCAAAGTAAATAAATAAACTCCGGAGCACGCAATTGGTCAAATAGCCTAGGCAACAAACCTCTCATTAATATTCATTTTGAAGTGTTGCTGGTTATGTCATTCAGCTGGCTGCAGCTTTGTTTTCATTTCTACGATCGAACTACGATCGATAGCGACAAATAAACAGTGCCAAAAATGCTCTCATTTTGTAATAAATTGCACTATTTTGGAAACGGGGGATCGTTTTCTGGCTAAGGGGGTTCGCTGGCAAAAGGGGGGTTCGCTGAAAAAGGGGGGTTCGCGCGAACCCCTAAAACCCCCCCTGGCTACGGGCCTGCACTTTAAGACGAGACACTTGCGCTGCCTATTTTACTGAAATTATTAGGGACTTGAGCTACCATTTATCAAAATCTTTCGGCCATGTAAACTACAAAATTAAACTTATACTTGTTCCTAATCACAAATAAGACTGCGGTTCTGTCCGTTTGCGATCTCTACTGTTCGTTGCTCTGCATCCACGGTAGGCGTAGCACATATTTTAGCCAAAAATCTTCGCTAAAATCGAGTGAAAAATTATGCTGCTTTGATACGGGACTTGGCAGGGACTGTAACTACCAATTTTACTATGTATTTCCCACAATATATACTCATACTATACTGTACAGGCTCAAACTCTTCCATAAATGTTCTCACTTGTGCTACCAACTTAGTCCTCAAAAATACCCCCGTAAATGCGGCACCTACACGTACAGAAATATTTAAAGGCGAGCATCCCGAGAGTGTGTTTCCTACCATGCCTATAACACACATTGATAAGCATTACTTACGGAGAACATTGTGCATCAATCATCGTTATTTTCCAAACAAGAAGCAATATACCTTTCGCCCAATGCAGCATATTGTGTCACTATTATGGAATTTCTTACGAGCACCATAGAAATCACAAGTTGTCCGGACTGTTATATGCCGTGTCGCAGTGTAAAACACGATGGTGTCCGGGTAATATTTTAAAAGAATTATGATTCTATTAATAGAAACAAAATGAATACGGTTCCCACTTGCCGCCGCGTAAACGCAATGATTTTCACGGGAAGCTTTCAAAAGTCGTTATGAAAATATTCATTGTAGGGCTACCAATGTATTGTAGGTTGGGATTGGGTTGTGTTCTGAATATTTATTATCGCAGGCCTGGGCGGGTTAGGTCTGTGCAGTTAATGCTTTAAAGTTAATGAATTTTTGCTTTTTAGCTAAAGACTGTAATAATATGTCTACCCTGAAGAAAAATAATTATTATAAATCAACAATTATAAATTTTTCGCAGATAAAAGCCCCCAGATTAGGCCTGGTCAGTTTAAAAAATATTTTTCATATTAAATTAACTATAGAGTACGTTTTTTGCTTGATGTTTAATTACAAATTGTATGATTTTATTGGAGAAAGCGCACCTGTTTTAGCCTGTTAGCCATAGCCTAGGTCAATACTAACACCGGGTATATAAAATTGATAATGGGATTGAAAAATATTAATCTTATTATTGTAGTAGTGACACTATGTCCACGTTTTAATTATTGTTATTTGTTCGTTAACGTTGTTATTATATATTATTTATATTTCAATTTAATGTATTGTTTAAGTATGAATTACTATGTCCATGTTAAATTAATCTTATTAGACAGGCCTAAACCTAGTGGCATGTATTATGTACATTTTAAACTCAACTGGATAAAGTTAAAGAGTAGATTCTACTCCAATACTGCTCCGACTCCAATACTGCGACAGCTTTAACTCACTTTTTTGTGTGGCGCAGGCACTGTGTGTAGGCTTAATCATCTTGGTCTGTTCCAAAGGAATAACAACTTAATCATAATGTACAGACATGCCATGAATGAACTTATTGATCCGATTGAGGGCGTAGTTTACGTTATATGGAACACATATATTTTTTACACTCACAAAATTAAAATTTATTTCTTTGGAAGTTTTGTTGATTAAAGTCATACAGTTGTATCCAAATAGTTACAATATATCACAAGACATTGTAATATAATTAGACCCCTGTAAACTAACCTTGATGTCCCAAAGGACAACATATGACCTTTAATACAAGACCACTTTTGAAAGAAAAAAAGAAACAATTTTAAACAAATGCTCAATATTAAAATATTAACAGAAATCTTTATTTTACTTCATTATGTCATTTTGACAATGACATCTGACAATGTTTCCATAGTTTCCATAAAGCTTAATTTATTTTTAACGACAAAAGAAAAGTTAACTTTGAAAACCACCAGCAGTTTTGGTTTTTAGAGGTTTTTCACATTCAAAATTTCCGTCAGAAGAAATAAATCACATGTGGGTCAATTCCATAACTTGTAAAGTAACCGTCGGATACCTTGATACAAATTTAAAAATTAGATTTCTTTTCTGATCTTATTTTTAATCATCTTCGATTTTTTTCTGACTTAAACATATGTTGACATTAATAAATAGGCCAGTCAGTTTAATAGCCGCTGCTGCTTCACATTCGGATCCATTCCTAGTTCAGTTGTTAGTGGTTTAAATATAAATATATATTTAGTAATCTGCTATGTATTTGCGTGAATCCAATGCTACAGAAGAAGAGACCGAAACAGGCCGTAGTTTTTAATAAACTTTTATTCAACGACTCAATAACAATAAACACACGTCTTTACTCAATGACAGCCGGGATCCAAGAACTAGGATACACGTAGGCCACCATGTTAGTGCCTCATTACATGTGCACGCGATATACAATCGCTGCGCACATACGCATCACACTCTGTAGTACAGGAACTACTACGCGAAGTAAGTAGGACTACACTACATGATCTAAAATAAAATACAAATATTAATGGCATTGCTTTTACCAGATTTAATTTAACGATTATTACAATTACTAATCCTGCTAC